TTTTTAGCTATCTAGTGCTAAGTTGAAACTTCGAAAAATCATAACTTCCTCATACGAAGTCAGATTTTGGCATTCTTTTTATCGAATTTCTCGGTTTACCGAATACTACGACTTTCATTTAGATTACTAAGGCTAAAAAGTAGTTTATCAAAAACTCACTTTTTACGTCATTTGGCGTCGTGCCGGTTTTGTCGCGGATTTTCGGTTGGTCATAACTTCTTCGTTATAACTCGAATTTTGTCGAGGTTTTCGCCTACAAATTTCTAATGAGATTCTCTACAACATCAAATAATAAAATTTTACTTATTTAAAATTTCATATTTTCGCTAAATTTAACTATTTGGCTTTTAATTGGAATCTCATAAGACTTCCAATATTTTCTGAGTGATTCTAAACATAGTTTTACTTCATTTCTAGTAAAAACCATCTGTTAGAACTCAACACTCAATTTTATATAATATTTCACAATTTTATTCATTACAAAACACGATTTTAAAACGTGTTACATCCTATCAAACTCATTCGGCTAACGACCCTCCACCAATCAAGGAAGCGGTAAGTGAGAGTAGACACCCATTCAATTACCATTTTATAGGCAGTTTTCTTATAACCCCCTTATATATCGGCTTCGTGAATGAGGCGTACTAGCGATTCGACTAACTTTTCTTTTATATATATATATATATATATATATATATATATAATTAGACTTTTAATTTTACATTTAGTATAAGGGTGTATTTTAAACTTTTAAAATACTAGGGTTTTTATTTTATTAAAATTTTCAAAATTAAAACCATTTAATTTAAAATTTTAAAATTTAAAAACCTTTAATTTAATAATTATCCAAAAATTAAACAATTAATTAAATTATTAAATCACATAATGATTACCAATTTAAATTAAACAGATTAACTTAATTTAATCCTTTATCTATGGATTTCGAAATTTAGGGTAGGTATATCTTTAATTATCCAATTAAACTATTAACAAGATAATTACCAAAAATAACAACCTACTAACTTATTCCTTAGATTTGCGAAATATTATGCTTGGAGTGGAAGGAAAGGCTTTCAACCTTGCCTAAAAATCGAAAATCCTACGGTTAGAAAACCCTAGATTTCGAATCCAAGGTGGCCAAAGGAAAGGGTTTGAAAACCCTTTGCAATTCTCAAAAAAAAAAAAAAAAAAAAAAAAAAAAAAAAAAAAAAAAAAAAACACAACTGGGGTTATAAACCTTAATTGCAAAAATCACAAGCCTTAGGGAGTCCAGAACCTTCTTTGGAAGAAAGAGGACGAACTTTAGGTATTCCAGGGCATTTGGAATATTCATTGTTAATAAATAAGAAGCTGGATAATTACCAATTTGAATTAATATTGTTTTATTCAAATTAAGTTATCTAAGGTTTACATATTGCACTATAAAAGGACTCTTCAGGCTAAAATTCCGGCCACTTGATCCTCAAGAGCCCTAGGCCGAAAATTTAACATTCCCTCCCTTCTCTTAAAAGCTTGTTGTTGCTAGTTTTGGGTGTGAACCATTAGAAGACAGGGCATTTGTGTTGCTAGCTTCCAAGTTATTAAAGAAGGATTCTTGATTGTTTGCTACAACAATCAAAATGTATGTTGTTCCTTCTGCAATTTACAAAATTACATAGGGTTAGAGTGTTTTTGTTGTTCAATAGAATGTTACATCAATAGTGTTATGACTTAGATCTTTAGGTTACATGTACCCTTAAGTGTTAAGTATTTATCCGCGTTAATACATGTAAAATCCATCAACGACGTACCCCGTCGATCTTGTACCCCGACTATCCTAAGGTTTCTAGTGACGTAGATCTGATAAAGGGGGCGACCGACAAACGGCGAACTGAGAAGATGGGCGAATTGAGCCTGATTTGCTAGAAATATAGAAATCTTTGTTAGATATGAGAAATCGTTATTCCGGCAAACAAGAAACCCTCTGAAGGACGACGTAGATCTGCAACGTCACAAATGGTGGTGATCTGAATGTCGGTTTGTCTCATTCCTTTCCGACGAATCGTCAAGCTATAGATCTGAACTCCAGATAAGACTACTTCACGTAAAGACGTTTGAACGTTGCCTAGGGTGGTTTCTAGCCCCATGGCGGCGACAACGACGATGGTTTCTGGTGATAGTGGCGGTTTCCAACGAATCGAGAGAGAGAGAGAGAGAGAGAGAGAGAGAGAGAGAGAGTTGAGGGATGTTGGTTGAAGTGGTGTTTATTTATTTTTTTTATTTTTTGTCTTTTTTTAACTGTTATATTAAAATAAATATGAAAAACAAAATAAAAAAGGTAAATTCATCAATTTAAGTATTTTCAAAGTAACAAAAAAAAACTTATTATGAACCGGTGATGTAACTCTAAACTGCCAAAGTCCCAACTTTTTACATAACACACGACCATTTTACAATTTTATCAAATAAAAACCATCGAATTGCACGATACATTCGTGTGAACACTATGTTATTTTAATAATAAAAAAAAAACCCATCAAATTTTATTTGTTGATGCAATTTCATGTGAACACTTTGTTATTTTAATGATTTTAGCTTAATTTTTTTTGGTATTCATAGTTAAAAAAACGTTGTGAATATATATCTAAAGATTTTAAAAAATCAAATATATTATAAAATTTATCAAAATATTTTACTAACTTACTTTTTTTTTTCGTAAAATGGACAATTAATTTGTGATAACTATTGAAAAGAATGTGGCAGTGGTTGTATGATTAAATTTCAAAATTGTTATATTAGAATTATTTAAAATGTCTTTTAAATTTTTTTTTAAAAAAAGGCTTATTTTGGTTTCGGTTTATTTTTATCAGTATATAGCTTTTAAAAAATAAACATTTTTTTTTCTTACGGACTGTAAACATTTTGTCTCTGAAAAAACAAATGTTTAAAATTTTACGAGAAAATGCAATAGTTATGTCAATTATTTATAAATTTATCATTTATATGATCGAATTACAATCTAGATAAAACTTAGGATTAAAACATACACAAAATAGAATGAGGCTCGCAAGACAATAGATATAAGGTTGATTTGTGTTATCAGTTTGTTAATGGGTAAATGACACAAAAAACACTCTTTTTACATAGAAATTCGATTTTCACACCGTGTTTTTTTTGTGTCAATTTTAACACTGTGTTTTTTAATTTGTTACAATTCTGACCACTTGACCGGTTAATCAGGTTACATGCTGACGTGGCATGCTGAGATGATATGCCGACGTGTCAAAATTGAATTTTTTTCTCACAAAAAACACTAAGTTTTCATATTTTTTTTCGATTTTGACACTAAGTTTAATTTTTTCTTTCAACTTTGACACTATGTTTTTTTGTTCCAAATCGAACATCATTTTTTTCAATTTTGTTCAATGTTGACAATTTTCTATTTGAAACCGTATAAATATTTGTTTTTTAATACATTTTAATCGTATAAATATGTTTTTTTTCATTTAAAAACCATAGTTTTGTATAATACATATTTTTTTACACTCAAACCATATTTTTATGTATAAATATTTATTAGCTATATAAAAATTGTATTTTATATTAAATATGCAACTTTAAAATGTGTTTGAAGGTTTGGAGACGTGTAGTTGATCAAAACTCGAATATCAAGTTTGCACATTTTTACATCTTATTAGAAGCTTATGGTTAGTTTGATTCTCATGATATAACTAATGCTTTGAATGTAAGAAAAAAAAACACTTTGTATTTAAATAAAAATGTGGTTTTTAAACGAAAAAAATATGTTTATACAGTTTAAAATGTAATAAAAATATATATATTTATACGGTTTCAAATGGAAAATAGACAAAATTGAACAAAATTTGATAAATGATGTTCGATTGGAACAAAAAAAACATAGTATCAAAATTAAAATAAAAAATTAAACTTAGTGTCAAAATCGAAAAAAAGTGAAAACTTAATGTTTTTTGTGGAAAAAAATCAATTTTGACACGTCAACATATCATGTCAGCATGTCACGTTATCAAAACTAACACGTTATCATGTCACATCAGCATGTAACCTGGTTAACCGGTCAAGTGGTTAAAACTGTAACAAATTGAAAAACACAGTGTCAAAATTGACATAAAAAAAACACGGTGTCAAAACCGAATTTCTATGTAAATAAAGTGTTTTTATGTCATTTACCCTTTGTTAATCAATTATTTTCAGATAATTCAAATTAAAATTATATGCAACATATTATGTTTAATTTGGATTTTAGTATGTTTTTATGGATTACCAAGTACAAGTATTATGTTATTTTGATATTTTATATAATGTTTTGTAATTTTTATAATTATTCAGCAAATTGATTTAGATGTTTTAAAAATAAAAATAATCCATTCAGCATAAAATGGTTGAGAATGTTAAAATGATAAGTTTTCTTATTCACATTCGGCAAAATTACTTAATAATATAGTTATCCCTAAATCATTCAGAAATTATCAAACAATCCCTAAAAAAACAAATTTTATATTTGGTGTGAAAATTAATCTTTTGTCACATTGCAGACTAAATATATCGTAACAACAAACATCAGTATATAAAAAGTAAATAATATCAAACTATCAAATGGTCAATGGTCAAGCAATAAAGAATAACTCTCTCATATATTCTCCACGGAAATATAAACGGTTATTTATGTGTAAGTTTGGCTTCTTTTTTTTTTTAAGTAAATATCTAACTAAAAAAACATTATAGAATTTGGTGAAGTACACCTACTATGGATAACTTTCCAGCTGTGTACAAATGATTAATACATTTATTAAAGTACAAAAACATGACTAATAAATCGGTATACGAAAAAATATATATATGAAAATACAATGATGGTTTTATCAAATTTTTAAATAAATTATAAATCACAAAAAGATCCAAAAGGAGAAAAATAAATGGTGCCAAAAAGGCATGAATCACACAATAAAAGAAGCATATATCAATAATCTTATTTGTTAATTTCATAACTTTAGCCTAAACTTGCAACTAGTTGCTTTGATGCTAATCTTATTATTTGCAGACAGATTATCAACTACCAACATGCATTTTCCCAATATTCTCACCTTCATCAACTTCAGTTTTCCAAGTTCAATCTTCACCGGAACATCCACTTTAAGGTCTAACGGAATCTGACCCGTTTGTTGTTGTTCTTGTAATGCCGCCAATAACGTCCGCCCATATTGGTTTTGACCCGATAACGCCACATTTAGCACGGTTTTGTTCTGATGACCTTGGTAGAATACAGGCAGCGAACCTTGACATAGGTTCGTGTTCTTGTACCACACGCTTAAATGACTCCCTTTTTGGTAAAAAATTCCGATTTTCTTGTTTGGATTGGTGGCAGTTATCTGGACGTTAAATCTTGCGTAGAGGGATAAATCAAGATTTAGAGTTAATTGGGATATTGTCAAACGGTCGACAGAGTAGTTGGGTATCTTTGGTTTAAATACAAGGTACAATATGCCGATAATGGCTGCAAAAATAATCAATAGAGTGATCAGCATGCATAGTGTCCAACATATGCATTTGCAACATGAAGATCTCTTTTGTTTTTTTGTGTGTGTTGGTGGCAATGGTGGACGTCTTAGGTGGTGGTTGAGAGGTGGTGCTACGACACTCTTGGCATTCGCATGAATTTTGTTTATTTTCTGATCTCCATTTGTTTGTGTATGTGTGTGCATGGTTTTTGTTTGTGGTGGTTGTGGTGGCTCCGATGGTGGTCTTAGGTGGTGGCCGAGGCTTGATGATGGTTGAGCCGGTGTTACTGTTACCCTACTTTTCGCATCTGCCATCGGATAAACTTTGTTTATCGTGTGATCGCCCATATTGTCTGTGTGTGTGTTTGGGAAAAGAAATATTGGTTAAGAAAAATGTGAAAGAATATTTGGGTAGGAAATCCCTTAAGCTTTTCAAACCTAAAACACGTATATGTAAAGGTATCCATGTGAGTGTTAGTGTTGGTGTTAGGTCAGCTACAACTACAATAATTGTTGACTTACTTTCGTGTTCTAAATAACTATTGGTCACTAATTATGATGACAAATTTTAATCAATAAGTTATTATAATTTTTTTAATCATTAAGTTATAAAAACTAGTCAGTTTATAAAACTTTATAATCGACCATTGTATATGGTAACTTAGATTTGATGATTATATGGTTATTACACCCGCCTTTGTAAGTAAATTAGCACAGTGAAATTATCTTTGGATATCGTATTTATATAGTACTTTATGTGCTAAAATAATTGTCAGTTACATAGATTAATGTATGTTAACTGTATGTAGAGATTCTAGTTTTTATGTGGAAGGGGTTATTTGTTAATAAACGTAAGTTGAGAGGTTTATTTTTGAAAGGGTTAATTAAAGAATAAAATAAGTGAAATTGGTATGTTGTTTAGCTAACTTCTTGTTAGAAGCGTGTTTGTGTAACATTACTATAATCGCTTTTAATAAAGTTTGGGTCAAGAGGTGTCTAATGAAGTGAAATTCCCTTTTGAAATAAACGTATTTTGTGTTCTTGAGGAAATAATTGATGTTTTAGTTTGTTTTTGTGAAGATTGTGACATCATTATAACATGTTTTGTTACGTTTCATATGTTCAACTTTTTATTATTCTATTGTCCTCAAATTGAGTTGAAGTGTAATATGAATTTATTTGAATAATTACTCGCCTAAGTAAATATTATATGATAATATAGGTTTTTTATTATTTTATTGTCGAGTCAAGTTGAAGTGTAATAAGAATTTACTTTACTAACCTCAGTAAATATTATGACAGTGTAGGTTTTTTTATTATTTTATTATTTTATTATCGTCAAATCGAATTGAAGTGTAATATGAGTTGAATAATTACTAGCCTAGCAAAGTAAATATTATGATAGTATAGGTTGGAAGGATTTCTGCTTTGTGATTAACTAAAAAATTCCATGTATTTAATCGTTGTGCTCTTAAAATTGCTCAAGCTATATAGAGAAATTGACCTATCAAGGTAATTAATTTTTCGATTTATTCATATCCAGATAAGTATTTTTTTTATACACATCTAGGTAACGAACTTTTTAAAAGTGTTCATATATAACCATTATGACATGTTGTAGCAAGCTACATTCGGTTATAACCGGTCATAATGTCATATGTGAACACTCGCTAAAAGTTCGTTACCTAGATATATATACAAAAAAAAAAAAAAAAAATAGTTTTCCAAATATGAACAAACCGAAAATGTAAAAGTTAATTACACGAATGGTCCGTGTGGTTTGGGTAATTTGTGCGTTTGGTCCCTAACATTTTTTTAACTCGGATGATCCCTACTATTTATTTTTGTTGTATGTTTGGTCTTTGTCTTACCTCAAAAAACTATTGTGCCCTTTTTAATTTATTTTTTAATCAATTTTCTTATTTATGTATTTATTTTTTATATATTTAAAAAAATTAATAGATCTCACATATTTGTATCTCCTCATCTTAAACTTGAAACCACATTTGAGAAATTTAAGTTGGGTCCTACCGGTCACAATCTCATCTCTTATCCTCCTCAACTTCTATTTCTTTCCCATAATTAATGACATCGATGTCTTCGTCATCCCTTCTTTTTTCGATTCCTAACTCCGATGGACACGAACCAACACAGTAAGGATCATCCGAATTAAAAAATAAGTTAGGGACCAAAAGCACAAATTATCCAAACTACGGGGACCATTAGTGTAATTTACTTTTACCTTTTCGGTTTGTTCACATCTTGATAACTATTTTTTTGTACACATCTAGGTAACAAACTTTTAGCAAGTGTCTACATATGATCATTATGACTGGTTATAACAAGTCATAATGGTCATATATGAACACTTTCAAAAAGTTCGTTACTTAGATGTGTACAAAAAAAATTACCCAAATGTGAACAAACTAAAAAGTTAATTACCTTAATAAGTCCATTCCCTAATATATACATAGTCCGTTATTTGTTTAATTAGAAAATCGAAATGTTTATAGCCCAACACCTAGCAGTAGCTGATGACTTGGTTCAAATCTTATGTGTCAGTCGCTTAAGACAAAACTTCAAAAATGGTCCATGTGGTTTCCGAAAATCTGAAGTTTAGTCTCTAATCTTTAAAAACCTCACAGATGGTCACTGTGGTTTCAAAACTTTTAACAAATGGTCCTTTTCGTTAACTCTATTAGCTTTTGGTCGTTAAGTGAAGGGTATTTCTGTCATTTCACTGCCACAAGGACCATTTATGAAGATTTGCCTTATTTTAAAAAAATTATTATTATTATTATTTAATATTAAAGGGTCCCACCTCTCTCTCTCTCTCTCTCTCTCTCAAACTAAACCCATGACCACCCATGACATACCACCTCCCCTCCATTGATTCGATCAAACATCACCACCCCACCTACTTTTTCTCTCCTTCTCATGAACCTACTGTCAAGAAATGACATCACCACGAAGGGTGGTCAAAAGACATTCCATTAAAGAACCAACACCAGTGGCTTTAACTACCGTGAATCACCACCATCTGCCACTGTTATTGACCAGTAACCCCCTCCGTCCCTCTCCTGTTCAAATAGTCAACCATCACCATTAGAAGTTGTAACGTATTCGGAGTATTCGGGCCCCACGTCTTTCCTTTCGGATCTATCGATTGGGTTGAAAATGACTACAGGAGCTCGACCTCGTCTCACTTCGTTTCCATTAACTTCAACTTGTAGGTTTTGAGAAGAACTAGGAGACCCTTAAGGGGAAGCTGAAAATGAATCACCATTATGCAAAATAGAAACTACAGATTCGGAATTCCTTGATAATCTTGGGCTTTGATTTGGGAAATATGTCACATGTGCAATATAAGAAATCGGCAAATGTATGGGTTCAATTACGGGGGAGAGGGGGGGGGGGGGGGGCTCATGAGTGATGGATCTTCTTGAATCTGAAAATGATTCGACTACAGATGCAGTGAGGATAGAACGGGAATTTGCTTCTAACTTACAATGCTCTAAAGAAAGAGGATGGAGAATTGGGTGAATCGGGAATTTGCTTCTCCTACATCTGCATTCATCTAAAATACTCATGACCTTCATTTGCCTCCTTCAGCTTCTAGTTTTTCACAAACTTTGGTTTACGAGGGCTTGATTGATTGTTTGTTGTTCTTTCTTGATCTATTTTCTTTTAGACGATTTCCATTCACAATCGTCATCTTCCGATATGTATTTGAGAAACCCCAAGTTTTTGCAATCGAGATCCAGAAACGATAGGCTACAGATCGGAGATGGTAACTTGTGAAGCATATCGAATTTTGAGGAAGAAGATAGAGAATATAGGTTGTTGTTTTTTTTTCTTTTTTTTTTTTTTTTTTTTTTTTTTTTTTTTTTTTTTTTTTTTTTTTTTGAGAGAGAGAGAGAGAGAGAGAGAGATGTGGGATCCTTTAATATTAAATAATTATTTTTTTTCCTTTTTATTTAAATAATGCAAATCTTCATAAATGGTCCCTATGACAGTGAAATAATAGAAATACCCTTCACTTAATGACCAAAAGCTAACGGAGTTAACGAAAATAATTATTTGTTAAAAGTTTTGAAACCACGAGGACCATCTGTGAGGTTTTTAAAGATTAGGGACTAAATTTCAGATTTTCGAAAACCACAAGAACCATTTTTGAAGTTTTGTCTATATTATAAATTGTATGTAGTCATTTCAAAATATTAAAAATAAAAAAAATAAAAGCAAGAATGTTAAAAGATCAATTGATGTATTGCAAATATGTGTTTTACTTTCACATGTTGCATTTATAAATTATTATAACATGTTTGAGAGGGGTACGTATAATATAGCACCCTAATTAAAATTTGCATTTAATTTAATAAAGAATAGATGCATAAACTATCTATTTATTCGTAAAACTAAACTGTCCCTTTTGTTTTTCCTACAACCATAATATCTAATTCTTAACCACCTAATTTTACCAATAAAATAACACTCTTAAAAAGATCAACCCAAACAACTATAATTTCTACAAACAGATTTCAATCAATAAACCAAAACTTATGGCGCAAATTTTGCAAATTGCAACAAAAAGACAACAAAAAAAGTAAACCCAAAGGTGCTTGTGTTCATTCGTTTGGCATGTGAATGACACAACGCAAACACTTTCCTGCAACCATTAAATCGAATGCTTTATTTATGTCTTTGAATGGAAAATTATGCGTGATGAGGTCATCAATCTTGATCTCCTGTGCATACAACCAACAATAATTGTTTTGCTACATTAACAAATTCACCCATTTTTTGGAAAAAAAAAAAAAAAAAAAAACAAAAACGAGTATCATTACTCTTACCTCCTTTAAATACATGTCGATTAAACTGGGAATATCCGATTTTGGTTTCCATCCTCCAAAAAGAGACCCTTTTAGTGTTCTTCCAGTAAGAAATAATCCATAGTGACATGCTACATTTGGGTTTGTCTTAGGAACCCCAAGAGTAACTGTCACACCCCACCCCTAATAATTAATGACAAAAACAATTATTATTATTTTTTTTTTTTTTTTTACGTTTTAAAGATTAAGAGATTAAGAAAGGAGTAAGTTAGGTTGTTACATCACAGCAAGAATGCAAAGCTGTATTTATCATCTCAGTGTCTCCAATGCATTCAAACGAATAGTCTACACCACCATCTGTAAGTCGTTTGATAGCCTGAAATCATAAATATATAAGAAATCAACTATAGGTTATAAAATCATTATCCTTATTAATCTTATTATTATTTATTAATATAAACATAGTATTAGTATACCTGTTGAACTGTCTCATCAATGTCGTTTGGGTTGATGAAA